TGAGAGCTTATTTGTCTATGACCACCTATTTGGATTGGAAGGATGAAAGGTTTTGGTATAAACTACGTTACGCAATGCCTCATAAGAAGGGAGAGGCACGAGATGCCGACATGCTTGAGACGGGGCGCAGATACGTTATCGGAGAGGTGGAGTTGAATGGACCATGTAAATCAAGAAATTGAATATTCTTTAAATAATGAAATAAAGGTAAAAGTATATATAATATTTACTTACGAGTTTGGTACAGGAAAGTTGATACTTTTTAAGCCTTAAGTAAATAAAAATAAAAATAAAAAAACAAATAGTTATGTTAAATACCCGCATTTTCTATCAGTTCCTCGACCTATTCCTATGAGTTGGAAGCAGAAAACGAAGACAGTATAAAGAAGAACTCAACAAGCTTTCAACTATCTTATGGCCAGATTTTAAAAAGAAAAAAGATGATCAACCGCATCAATGCAGTCAATCGAATTTGAGTAGTCTCATCAGAGATCTTGATTTGTCTCAGGAGAGGGCAGGACTTATACGATCAATACAGACAACGTTAAAGATTTTTTTTTTTTTGAAAAGAAAAGCAACCCCCCTGTTTTCTGCTTGCTGAAAAGTTTGAATTTGAAGAATGATCCAACTGAATGGACACTTTTCATAGACTTAGCTTAGTTTGAAAGCTGTGAAGCTTCATAATGCCAATTTAACTTACATTCCTATTAACCATGCAGTTCATCTGTGGGAGACCTGAGGGCGACTGAAATATAAGTGGAAAATTTACGGTGATTTAAAGGTATTTACCATAACTCTTAGGTATGCCATAAGGGTATACAAAACACCGTTGTTTATTATGTATGTGAGATAACAGGGACAGAAAATCACATTATATTCAAGCAGATTGGCCTACAAGAAATCTTAAACCTAGTGAGAAAAATGTTCTCCTCCGATATTACATATTAAGCAGAGCGTGATGAAGATTTTTATCGAAGCCATAAACCGTGAAGGCCAGGCTTTTAAATACTAAAGAAACAAATTTCCAAAATTGAGTGGTGCAAAGTTCAAGGAAGTCATCTTTGTTGGGACTCAAAAACGACAACTTGTAAAAGAACATTGCATTGAATTTAGTTTTCGAAGGTAAAGAAAAGGAAACTAGGAAAGCTCTCAAGGCAGTTATACATGGAGTACCCTCAATTGGTTACAGAACTTCCACATAAACGTCATCAACTCGGCTGCAATATGTCGCTAAAAATCCATTTTATTCACGCGCATCTTGATTTTAGCCCTGCTAATTGCATAGATATCAGTGGTGAGCGTGGAGAACGGTTCCATTTAGATATTTCTTTGATAAAACACAGATATCAGAGCCGCTGGAATGAAGATTACTGTTGGTTTAAGTGCAGAGATGCTCCAGAGGCTACTTACAAGCGGAAAGCTAAAAATTCGCGATCAAAGTGATCACTTGGTTCTTGGTATGTTTTGACATCTGACAAATGTTTTTTGAAGAATTTTGAATTTAAAAACCCAAGTGAAATCAGTCTTTGCCATTTTCTTAGAAACAATAATTTAAAATTTTTGGATTTTTAGTTTTATGAAACTGTCTCAGACCACATATTTTTTGGAAATAGTGAAAAATACGATTTATGTACATTTCGAAAAACTTAGAAATAATAAATTCTTCTCTTTTTCATATTCGTTTTTCTTAATCCAAAATTAGTAAGCCTCTTGAAGTAAAGGAAATGTTCAATTTCTGTTTTTTTTGTTGTTGGTTGCGCAGTGTAATTTATGCATAATAACTTTGGGGAAAGATTATTGTACTTTTCGATCGTCTCCTTTTCCATGGGACAATTGGTTTTTCCACATAAGTGACCGTAAAACCACAAAAATTTTTTGTTATACATTCACTCTCGTTATCGCTCTATATTTCTCTGTAGCCAGCATAACAGTTGATTTGGTTTCAACAACAAACATACAACACCGAATGTTTCGAATTTATTTTGAAATTACGCTTTATGATTGAAATGAGAACTTTTTGCCAGTTCAAAAGCTTAGTTTGTTTTTAAGTGTGCACATGGCAGTGTCAAGAAAGAAGGGCCCTAAAATTGCAACCTTTGTAGATGTGAAAAAGTAATATTTCATTTGAAAAAGAAGTTGTTTTGAGTTTAGAAAAATTAAATTATGAAAGCGCAACGCGTTTATAGCACCACAAAATTTATATTAATTTTTTATGCTAGCACATCGATCCTATTCATCCAAGGAGCAACTGCATACTCTGCTTCGAATACCACAAAATGCCATGAAAGGTACAAAAGTGGTCAATTCAAATGTTGCGTAGACAGTATGCAATGTTCGTTCAGAGATAAGAGTGGATGGGTGGATTTTGAGCTCAACTCAAGCAACCTTTTTATGCGTATAAAATGCCTGAAGAAGCAATGGGACGTCAACAAGATTTTGGAACAACTTCCGAAATTCGAAATGCCTACAACAGCTAAGTTCAGCTTAAAAACATGTNGCTTATTTGTCTATGACCACCTATTTGGATTGGAAGGATGAAAGGTTTTGGCATAAACTTCGTTATGCAATGCCTCATAAGAAGGGAGTGGCACGAGATGCCGACATGCTTGAGACGGGGCGCAGATACGTTATCGGAGAGGTGGAATTGAATGGACCATGTAAATCAAGAAATTGAATATTCTTTAAATAATGAAATAAAGGTAAAAATATATATTTACTTACGAATTTAGTAAAGGAAAAATGATTGCTTTTAAGCCTTAAGTAAATAAAAATAAAAATAAAAAAACAAATAGTTATGTTAAATACCCGCATTTTCTATCAGTTCCTCGACCTATTCCTATGAGTTGGAAGCAGAAAACGAAGACAGTATAAAGCAGAACTCAACAAGCTTTCAACTATCTTATGGCCAGATTTTAAAAAGAAAAAAGATGATCAACCGCATCAATGCAGTCAATCGAAGTTGAGTAGTCTCATCAAAGATCTTGATTTGCCTCAGGAGAGGGCAGGACTTATACGATCAATACAGACAACGTTAAAGATTTTTTTTTGAAAAGAAAAGCAACCCCCCTGTTTTCTGCTTGCTGAAAAGTTTGAATTTGAAGAATGATCCAACTGAATGGACACTTTTCATAGACTTAGCTTAGTTTGAAAGCTGTGAAGCTTCATAATGCCAATTTAACTTACATTCCTATTAACCATGCAGTTCATCTGTGGGAGACCTGAGGGCGACTGAAATATAAGTGGAAAATTTACGGTGATTTAAAGGTATTTACCATAACTCTTAGGTATGCCATAAGGGTATACAAAACACCGTTGTTTATTATGTATGTGAGATAACAGGGACAGAAAATCACATTATATTCAAGCAGATTGGCCTACAAGGAATATTAAACCTAGTGAGAAAAATGTTCTCCTCCGATATTACATATTAAGCTGAGCGTGATGAAGATTTTTATCGAAGCCATAAACCGTGAAGGCCAGGCTTTTAAATACTAAAGAAACAAATTTCCAAAATTGAGTGGTGCAAAGTTCAAGAAAGTCATCTTTGTTGGGACACAAATACGTTAACTTGTAAGAGACATTGCATTCGATTTAGTTTTCGAAGCTAGGGAAGCTTTCAAGGCAGTTACACATGGAGTACCCTCAATTGGTTACAGAACTTCCACATAAACGTCATCAACTCGGCTGCAATATGTCGCTAAAAATCCATTTTATTCACGCGCATCTTGATTTTAGCCCTGCTAATTGCATAGATATCAGTGGTGAGCGTGGAGAACGGTTCCATTTAGATATTTCTTTGATAAAACACAGATATCAGAGCCGCTGGAATGAAGATTACTGTTGGTTTAAGTGCAGAGATGCTCCAGAGGCTACTTACAAGCGGAAAGCTAAAAATTCGCGATCAAAGTGATCACTTGGTTCTTGGTATGTTTTGACATCTGACAAATGTTTTTTGAAGAATTTTGAATTTAAAAACCCAAGTGAAATCAGTCTTTACCATTTTCTTAGAAACAATAATTTAAAATTTTTGGATTTTTAGTTTTATGAAACTGTCTCAGACCACATATTTTTTGGAAATAGTGAAAAATACGATTTATGTACATTTCGAAAAACTTAGAAATAATAAATTCTTCTCTTTTTCATATTCGTTTTTCTTAATCCAAAATTAGTAAGCCTCTTGAAGTAAAGGAAATGTTCAATTTCTGTTTTTTTTGTTGTTGGTTGCGCAGTGTAATTTATGCATAATAACTTTGGGGAAAGATTATTGTACTTTTCGATCGTCTCCTTTTCCATGGGACAATTGGTTTTTCCACATAAGTGACCGTAAAACCACAAAAATTTTTTGTTATACATTCACTCTCGTTATCGCTCTATATTTCTCTGTAGCCAGCATAACAGTTGATTTGGTTTCAACAACAAACATACAACACCGAATGTTTCGAATTTATTTTGAAATTACGCTTTATGATTGAAATGAGAACTTTTTGCCAGCCCATAAGCTTAGTTCGTTTTTAAGTGTGCACATGGCAGTGTCAAGAAAGAAGGGCCCTAAAATTGCAACCTTTGTAGATGTGAAAAAGTAATATTTCATTTGAAAAAGAAGTTGTTTTGAGTTTAAAAAAATTAAATTATGAAAGCGCAACGCGTTTATAGCACCAAAAAATTTATATTAATTTTTTATGCTAGCACATCGATCCTATTCATCCAAGGAGCAACTGCATACTCTGCTTCGAATACCACAAAATGCCATGAAAAGTACAAAAGTGGTCAATTCAAATGTTGCGTAGACAGTATGCAATGTTCGTTCAGAGATAAGAGTGGATGGGTGGATTTTGAGCTCAACTCAAGCAACCTTTTTATGCGTATAAAATGCCTGAAGAAGCAATGGGACGTCAACAAGATTTTGGAACAACTTCCGAAATTCGAAATGCCTACAACAGCTAAGTTCAGCTTAAAAACATGTCAACACTTGCCTGATATTCTAAAACGAAACGACGTCATATATGATGCAGAGATTATGGCGATGGAGCCGACGCCAATGAATTTGCTGCATAACTCAAGTGGTATAGAGAGTCTAAAGGTAAAGTCTTATATGCCAATATCACCAACATTCTTTCTACATCTCAAGTCGCTTAGAAACTTAAAAGTTGAAATACTTGTAAATTATTTGGGCAGTGATAAACTCGGGTATTTAACTACGGAGCACTTTCAAAATCTAACCGCACTCAAGAATCTAACCATTACCTCAACTTTTTCTAAAAGTTTTCCTGCGCATATTTTCTCTTCACTTGGAGAACTAGAACATTTGAGTCTGCAATATAACAATTTGAGTGAACTTCAAGAGAATTCATTTGCTGCTCAAGAAAAGCTCATTAGTCTAGATCTCAGCTGGAACTTACTTGAATACTTGCCAGAGAAATTATTCGAAAATACAAGCTCTCTAAGATATCTGTATTTGTCCGAAAACTACTTCAGCAATCCCTCAATTATCATTGCCTGCACTAAGCCTTTGGGATATTTAAACCAAATGGATTTGAGTCACAACAAATTGCGTACGATCGGTGGTAATGATTCCTATGTCAACGAGACGATCTTAACCAACTTCGAACGACTGGAAGATTTCACACCACCACTTTCGAACAAGAACCATAGTGGCGAAAATGAAAGACGCCATTTCATATGGCTCGACCTAAGCTTCAACCCTATAAAAATATTCAATACGAATTGGTACAATAAAAT